TGGCTGGCAGATAAACTTTTACACACTGCAAATAAACAGTAACTAAAATAAAAAGACTTGAGGGGTATTGTACAAAAGTAGGATAAAGAAATCCAGGATAAGTGAGCAAGCGCGGCTTGACTTAGCCTGCTCTGCGCATCCTGGCTTAATTGGTTGCACGTTTGCCGAGCCAGGATTAAAAGGTGCTATGTTAAGACAGGTGTAGATAGTCGGGATAAGTGCGTGTTCACGGCATACTGAAATAGACCTCGCGATCGCTCACAGAATCACCGATGGGAACATGGATAAGAGTCGCACTTCATATTTCACGGCCGCTGAAAAACAGCTCCTGATGGAGTTCAATGAAGAGGTGGAAGATATAAGAAAAAAAGGCAATACCATTGCCATAATTAAAGAAAGAGAGAAGGCCTGGCAGACAATAGAGGACCGGCTTAATGCGTAAGTAGTCCAAAACTGTACAATGAATAAACAGTGCTCCTCTGGAACTGTCATAATTAGGCCACAAGGACTAAAGGAGTTACTTTAAGTCCACTAATCAACTGTTGTACACTTTGCTTTAAATGTGGCAAGAAGAGGTGGATGTTACTCAGGAAATGTAGAGTATGATTAAGTGCAAACAATTATCTACAATGTGTGTCATTTAATCTATTTTTTTCATGTTACGTTTTTATCTATTTTATCTTTCTATCCTTTATAAAGAACAAACTTGTCTGGCCATAAAAGGACCTGGCAGCAAGTTAAGATTAAATACAAGAATATTTTGCAGGCTGGTAAGTGACTTTAAAGTAGATAACAGTGAATAAATGAGGTGAATAGATTAGGTGTCTGCTGACATGTTGAATGTCTGTATGATTGTAGCAGTTAAAAAAAAAGACCATAGAACTGGCACAGGGGGCGGCCCACCAAGCCAGGATATGACCCCAGCGGAGGAGCTGGCACTCCATTTAAATAAAGGGAGGCCAGTGATGGAGGGAATCCATGGAGGGGCTGTAACGGATTCTGTCCCAGCCACAGAAACTGTCTGCTTCATACAAGGTACATATTGCAGTACTACAGCACACGGAGCATAATCAAATAAATATATTATACTGTCTGACTTTAGATTTCCTTGCAGTGTCTGGGAACACGCTAACACTTTTGGAGCCACCAGAAGATGACCCGGTTAGTACATTGTATTGAAATCACAGGCTTGGTATGTCCTGTGAAATCTTAATTCAAGTTCTCTCAATACATGTATGTATGTATGTATGTATGTATATGGCAGGGGGAAGGCACATCTGCAGCTGCAGAATGCACTTCTGCAGATGAGGAGACTGTGTCACTGGACTCCAGAAGGCTTGAGGTATGTCAATTTTATGGAAATATCCTGCTTATTTAGTCCATAAAGGATATGAAGTCTGTGATGTGGTGCTAATAGAAAATATATGTGTAACAGGACCCAGATGATGCACAGTCTCCTAAGCAGCCTGGTAATATAGTGAGTATTGGCCAAAGTAAATCTATATTATGCACAAATCCTGCTGTGCATATTTGACATTTCTTTTACAGACTTCACAAACTGTCAGAAGGCTTTATGCGAAGCACCTGGAGAGACAGATAGAGCTGGCAGATGTTAAAATAAAACTGAAGAAGAGAAAGCTCCAAGAAATGGAGCTGGATCTTCAAATGAAACGCCGGACACTCAGGAAACTGGACCTGGAAATCCAGAAACTAGAAAGAGAAGTGAGTATTTCAGTGCACACAGTAACCAAAACTGCCGTACAGTGTTTTAATCTTTGTTGCTTTTGCTCCCTCCATTCCAGGATCCAAGCAACCAAGGCAAATGAGGGCTGCCAAATAAAAATAAAAATTCAACTAGAAAACAATGTGGTGTCCTCCCTTTTTCATGAATGTGAAGTAGAATTTAAAAGAACCACCAATGCCAAACAACACAGCACACACAGCAAAAAGTAGCATTTAAGATCTTTTATTAACTAAAGATAGGCTAAATCCAAAAATTAAGAGAAAAAATTTGCAATATATTGCTCCCTGACAAGTCTGCCATTAATGTTGTCTGGGAAGATGGGAGCATTTTCCCAGTCAACATGAACAGCCACTCGGGGGGGCCTCTCCTTTCTCAGGCCTGCAATGTTATGCAGTACTGCGCATGCAGCAATGACATCACAGGCCCTGTCCGGGGAAACTCTCAGGTGGTGCAGGCACCGAAACCAAGATTTCAGAAGGCCGAAGGTCATCTCGATTCGAGCCCTTGTCTTGTTGTGTGCGTGGTTGTAGGCCTGCTGTGGTGGGGTTTGGGGGTCAGCAAGGGGAGTCAAGAGGAATGACTCGCAGGCGTAGCCTTTGTCTCCCAGCAGCACACCAGAGAATTCGCCTGATAATACAAGATATCAATTAGAAAACTACACGGCAGAGTTAAACACTCATGATGTCCAAGGTGCTTACAGTACAAATAAAATGTGTGGCTTACCTTGTGAAAGTCTCTCATAAATTGGACTAGCCCGAAAGACTCTGGAGTCATGCACTGAGCCAGGCCACTTTGCCTCTAAATTGCTGACAAGGCAGTCAGCATCACATATCATCTGAAATGTTAAGTTGTAACCTATTAAGGTCATTTAATGCACAGAATTAATTTATGCAGGTCATAGTAACCACAAATCACTCTTACCTGAACATTGATGCTGTGGAAGGATTTCCTGTTAACGTAATCTCCCTCATGTTCTCCTGAGGGGCGTTTGATCCTGATGTGTGTGCAATCCACTGCACCAATGATGTTAGGGAAAGCTGTAACAATAAATAGTGAGTATCCAACTGTGACTGATCAAATTAGAAACTAATGGTTGCACGTTTAAATTGAGGTTACCTGCAATCTTGTAAAACTCCTCCTTGATGTAGAGGGGTCTTCTGTGGCCAGGGAAGGCGATGAATATGTTGCTGAATGACTTTTAGCGCCAGACAAACACGTCTTATTGTGCGGCAAATGGTTCCTTTATTGAGGTTCTCTGCATCCCCAACAGAATAAAGGAAGCTCCCACTTGCAAAACATCTCAATGTAACACAGACCATCTGTGGTACAGTGAGAGCATGACTTCCTGCCGTCTGGTGCTGTATTTTTGGACCCAGCAGCCTACATAAATATCTTAGTCTATCACCTGAGAATCTGTATCTCTCAATGAGATAGTCCTCTCCAACGGCCAATGGGTCTGACCTGTCCCAGAAGACTCTTTCATGACTAAATGCTCGTCTGAGGATTAGGGCTTCCTCCTCCAGTACATCCTCCAAGAAAGGGCAAGCCATTATGAAGAGGGAACAGATAAATGGGAGTTAGACCTATATATACTATATTGTCCTCATCACAGATTTCATTGAAAACAGCTTTGCAACTTCATCAGCTGTGTTTTGTAATCTCAATTACTGCAATAAACACATATTTATGAAACCTCTGACGGCATTTTGACAAGCAGTCTTCATTAGCATAGCAATATAACACTTGTCCTGAGTAATAATACTACCACTTGAATCAATATAAAAAGACTGTTGCAATTACAAACAGCCAACAGATTTAAATGGAATGAGAAATGACAATATATATGTAATATTTTAATGCAGGATAATTAAAATGATGCAACATACTTAGAAAGACCATGGACATGCTGTAAAACACATTAATTCCTCACAGGATTGACGGTGGAAATACAGGAGAATCACTAGGATTAATCTTAGCCTGGCTGTTAGCCTGGTCTGGAGCAGGCTAGCTGCAGAGAATAAATCACCATAGTAACTTGGCCGGGATAAGTTTAACCTGCTTTCATGCAACCGACTTGAGGCTAAATTCAGCCAGGATAACCAACATATCCCGGCTTAATCCCTTATCCTGGTTTTGTGCAATACCCCTCTGGACTCTGGGAGGACAGTCAGATGGTAATTATTATTATTGTTGTTATTATCATTGTTGTTGTTGTTGTTATTATTATTGTTTGGACTCTGGGAGGACACTCAAATGGTTATTATTATTATTATTATTGTTGTTATTATCATTGTTGTTGTTATTGTTTGGACTCTCAGAAGACACTCAGATGGTTATTATTATTGTTGTTGTTATTATCATTGTTATTGCTTGGACTCTGGGAGGACAGTCAGATGGTTATTATTATTGTTGTTGTTATTATCATTGTTGTTGTTATTGTTTGGACTCTCGGAAGACACTCAGATGGTTATTATTATCATTGTTGTTATTATCATTGTTATTGTTTGGACTCTGGGAGGACAGTCAGATGGTTTTTATTATTGTTGTTATTATTATCATTGTTGTTGTTATTGTTTGGACTCTGGGAGGACAGTCAGATGGTTATTATTATTGTTGTTGTTATTATCATTGTTGTTGTTATTGTTTGGACTCTGGGAGGACAGTCAGATGGTTATTATTATTGTTGTTGTTATTATCATTGTTGTTGTTATTGTTTGGACTCTCGGAAGACACTCAAATGGTTATTATTATTATTGTTGTTATTATCATTGTTGTTGTTATTGTTTGGACTCTCGGAAGACAGTCAGATGGTTATTATTATTGTTGTTGTTATTATCATTGTTGTTGTTATTGTTTGGACTCTGGGAGGACAGTCAGATGGTTATTATTATTATTATTATTATTGTTTTTATCATTATTGTTGTTATTATTGTTTGGACTTTGGGAGGACACTCAGATGGTTATTATTATTATTATTATTATTATTATTATTGTTGTTGTCGTTATTATCATTGTTGTTTTTCTGTTTGATGAAGTCATCATTCAGTAGTTCTGACGTCACTTCCTGTTGTTTACACGCAGTCAGAATTAGCAGCAGGTGTATAATCTGCTCCACCTGAGATTAACTGCGGGGGCACGAGGACACATGATGACGTCATCTGAAGTGACTGCATTTAATGTTAGTGACAGAAAAAACCCGATCCAATCAGCTGACGGGTATTGTCGCTTTAAGCCCCGCCCCCTAAAACACACACACACACACACACACACACACCCCCCCTCCTGTCAGCACTCTCTCTCTCTCTCTCTCTCTCTCTCTCTCGCTGGTAATCCGCCTCTCTCTCTCTCTCTCTCCCTCTCTCTCTCTCTCTCTCTGCAGTCATCATGGCGGAAATCAAAACGGGAATCTTCGCTAAAAACGTGCAGAAACGTCTGAACCGCGCGCAGGAGAAGGTAAGAGCTGCTGATGGAGATGGAGGTGGTGGAGGACGGAGGGTTGGAGGGATGGAGGGATGGAGGAGGTGCCGGTGCAGGAGGACAGATGGAGGAGGACGTCCAGAGGCTGCAGGCCTGTGGATCCTTACAGCATTAGAGCGAACGCTTTCCCGGTGTCTCCGGTGCTGATTATTGGGATTATTAAATGTGGAAGATGTTTCCAGTAAATCTCCTCATAAAAACAATAAAATCATGAGAAAATAACGGAAAGTGTTTTGATTGGATGAAACAGCCCGACGGCAGATTAACGCCGTCTGATGACGTCAGAGTGCGGTGAAACGTTTGATGTTTGGGGGGGGCAGTGAGGACGTCCCTGTTGACGACAGATCAGCCTGTATGTTTAAATTTAATTAAATAAATATGTATTATATACACAGAATATATTGAGGTTATATAAATATATGAATACAGCACATATACTGTATTTATATATATATATATATAAATATACATATTTATTATTGAATTTATTTCTGATAAATACAAACAACAAAAGTAATGTAACTAAATGCTTTCATTACATTTTCACTGTAATAATATCACTGACATTTATTATGACATTTAATTAGTTACATAACTAGTTACTGGAGAAAATAATGTTATTGCTGTAGTAATGAGTTACTGCCCAACGCTGGTGAGGACTGTCCGTGGTGCTGTTGGTGCTTCCTGTTTGAGTTTAGCTGTCCAGTTCCTGTCCCGTTTTATTTTGCAATTGTGTCTGTCTTTGAGCATTTCACCTGATAGAGCTCCTTATATGGGCAGACAGCCAACCAATGAGATCACACAGAATGAGTCCACCCAGGACAGAAGAGTTTGTGTTTGTTTGAAGCAGCCGACAGTAACGTCGCTTCCTGTGTTCAGGGACAACAGGTTCAGACTGGGTTTCATCCAGAAATGCAAACCGACAGTCGCTTATGAAATATTAAACAGTCACTGAGCCCATCAGCTGCCTTCATTCAAACAATCACTATCAACATCAGTCATTAGTCAGTGCGTTACCTACAGTAGACAGCACTCAGGTGTATAGTCAGTGCGTTACCTACAGTAGACAGCAGTCAGGTGTATAGTCAGTGCGTTACCTACAGTAGACAGCAGTCAGGTGTATAGTCAGTGCTTACCTACAGTAGACAGCAGTCAGGTGTATAGTCAGTGCGTTACCTACAGTAGACAGCACTCAGGTGTATAGTCAGTGCGTTACCTACAGTAGACAGCACTCAGGTGTATAGTCAGTGCGTTACCTACAGTAGACAGCAGTCAGGTGTATAGTCAGTGCGTTACCTACAGTAGACAGCAGTCAGGTGTATAGTCAGTGCGTTACCTACAGTAGACAGCAGTCAGGTGTATAGTCAGTGCGTTACCTACAGTAGACAGCACTCAGGTGTATAGTCAGTGCGTTACCTACAGTAGACAGCACTCAGGTGTATAGTCAGTGCGTTACCTACAGTAGACAGCACTCAGGTGTATAGTCAGTGCGTTACCTACAGTAGACAGCAGTCAGGTGTATAGTCAGTGCGTTACCTACAGTAGACAGCACTCAGGTGTATAGTCAGTGCGTTACCTACAGTAGACAGCAGTCAGGTGTATAGTCAGTGCGTTACCTACAGTAGACAGCAGTCAGGTGTATAGTCAGTGTGTTATCTACAGTAGAAAGACTCAGGTGTATTAAGTGTCTCATGTATAATTCCTCAGGTGCTGCAGAAACTGGGAAAAGCAGACGAGACCAAAGATGAGCAGTTTGAACAAGTGGTCATCAACTTCAGGAGACAGGAGGTGAGACACGTTCAAGATCATAGAAAGTTTTCAGCAGCTGTGATGGCCATGTTCACTGCTAAATTCTAACCCTACAGGAAGTCCCAGACAACGTTATTATATTATATTATATTACATTATAATATATTATGTGTCTGTATTAATAACAGTACTGTGTGTGTTCTGTCAGTCTGAAGGCTCTCGGCTGCAGAGGGAGATGAAGTCCTACATGGCTGCCATCAAAGGTGATTTAGAGTCTTCCACATCTATAATTTGTCACTTATCATACATCATTTGTAATTTGTTATTTATCATCTCTCCTGGCCATTCATACTGCCATGGTATACAATAAAGTTGATAACTGATCTGTTTCTCTTCTTTTAAACACAACATAATATGTTTTTGTTTCTTCAGGGATGCAGCAGGCCTCCATCAACCTGACACAGTCTCTGCATGAAGTCTATGAACCAGACTGGCATGGAAAAGATGATGTCATGGTTATTGGAAAGGTCAGAGTCATAAAAACACCAACTGACAGGATGACACCTGAATGCTCAGCACATATCCAGGTGTCAGTGTGAGACAGGTGTGCAGGTGTTCACAGGCAGCTGACCTGAAACTCTGGTTGTGATTTTTCTTTTATGGATTGTTGTGTTTCCTGCAGGACTGTGATGCATTGTGGGAAGACTTCCATAACAAACTGGTGGACTCCACGCTGCTGAACCTGGATGGGTACCTGCAACAGTTTCCAGACCTCAAAGTAACAAACACTTTGTCTTTTGATGATAGAATATTTGACGGATTTGATGGTTCATCTTCTAAAAACTGAAACTTTGTATTGTTTAAGACTCGAGTGGCCAAAAGAAGTCGGAAACTCATCGACTATGACAGCGCTCGACATCATGTTGAAACTCTGCAGATATCGGGGATGAAGAATGACCGCAAGATAATGAAGGTGATTCTGTGATTAAATATGATGTAGGTTAGATATTAAGAAGTTGAAGGTCCAGGTGTTGTATGAAGTTCTTTTTATTGATCATAATTGTTTTTGTTTGCAGGCAGAAGAAGAGTTGAAAAAGGCTCAGAGAGTGTTTGATGAGCTGAACGTTGGGCTACAGGATGAACTGCCGACTCTCTGGGACAGGTGAGTCAGATCACATAAATACCTGTCTGACAACTCAAAGTTAGACTTAGATTATGTGTCTTTGGAAACTGGGCTGCAGCATGTGGTGAAAGTCACATTCCAGGCTCTGCCTAATTGGAGCTGCTCATACCTTCCATCAGTGGTGCAGTTATATGTAAGTGAAAATAGAACCTAATCACAATATGATTTCTCATTGATAATAAACCGGAATCAGCTTTTAGGAAAACTGATGGTATAATTAAAACAAGTTTGTCTTTTTTTTAATTCTGTCTTAATGTTTAGTCATCTTTAGATGTTTATGAGCTGTGTGACGGCACTGCTTTTGTCTGTTCTATTGACACTTCAGCTGTTGTAAAATGTGAGGAGAGCACTGAGGAAATGTTCAAGAAGCGGATGAGTTCATTAAACGATGTTTAAAAATCTGAAAACAGAATCACAAATAATCACCATCTCTCACTTCTCTCCGTCTGCTCTGCAGCCGGGTTGGCTTCTACATCGGCACCTTTAAGAGTGTGACAAAACTGGAGGCCAAATTTCACCGCGAGATCTCTCTGGTGAGGACACCAACAAACACAGGAAACAATTAAAAACTTTTAGTGCTGCTTCAATAATCCAGAGTAACAGACAGACAGACAGTGACTGTGTTCAGTCAGCCCAGGGTTACAGGGTGTACACCCATCCATGTCAGAGGACGTAGGGTAGCGAGAAAGTCCTCACCTAGAGGAGGTGGGGTGAAAAGATGCCTCTAACAAAAAGATGGCTCTACCATCTGAAACCAATGGTTTAGGTTTAAAGTTACTTTACATGTGTAACTTGCATCACAGGACTTACATAATGTAACATAGTTATTTGAACCTAAACTCTAACCCTTTTCACATTTTTACAGCATAAACCACATGTTAAAAAAGGCTTCCATACAGATGTGTTAAAGCATGCCTTGTGCATCTGAAATGTTAATATTTGATGATCTGGGATGAGAACATGTTTGTTATGTCTGAACTATTGCTGACATCGCCTATGTGACTAATAGGGTTAGGGCACTTTGTGAGAGGTGATTCTGTGGATGGTAAGGTGTATAAAATGTTGAACTGATAGTTGTTTGAGTTAATTTTATTTATATTAGAAGGGTAAAACTGAAACCTAACATAATTCTAATCCAACTCTTAGGTATGTCGGCAGCTGTATGCAGTGATGACCCAGCTGGCTGAACAGCACTCTGATAAAATGTTCACCATCCAGGGAGCACCAAGGTCAGTCTGAATTCTCACTTTATTCAAATTTTGAAAAGGAACAATTTACTTATTTTTTTTAAATATTAAATTTGGTTTTATGGATAAAGGTCCAGTGTGTAGGATTTAGTGCCATCTATAATAATAATAATAATAATAATAACAACAATAATAATAATACATTCATTTTCATGTATATAGCGCCTTTCAAAATTGGGTTACAAAGACAAGACTATAAAAGTGCATTTTAAGAAGAAACTTGGAAAGCTGTTCCACAGTTTGGGGGCTCTTTGATGGCCAATAGTGTCACATTTCTTTTTTTAACATGGTTTACGGACGGAGAAAAGGGAGTTGCAATGATCTAGTCCAGAAATAATTAAAGTTGCTGATAAAATCATATCCTGCTACCGACTAGAAAGATGACTAAAACATTAAACACTTGAAAGAGCAGTGATGGGACCAGACATTGCATAGTCTTTTTTACAAAAATCTTGATCGCAGCAGCAAAGAGATTCGAAGTCTTGGTTCAGCTTGGCTGATCGTCTAGCCATGACATCATTAGGGCCAGCATACAGTGTGGACTGAGGGGACGAAGGCCATGAGTGCCGGTGTAAGTTCAATGAAATCCTCTAGTGCCGATGCAAGTTCAATGAAATCTTCGATTATCCACTGCTTAGTAATGGCAGATCTAAGGTTTGAGTTGCCAAGTACCAACATTTCAGGCCCAGAGCCAATCCTGTTGGTGTAGACAGCAAGCTTGGAAGCGAGTTTGCAGATGACAGGAGTAGCGAACGTCAGTGACGCAGGGGGTGATGATACTTGAATGGGACCAGTCGACCTTGCTGTGAGGTGTTAACAGGCTTAGCTATACTAAGTGAAAGGCATCGCCGCTTGCTCCCAGGAAAAATGACTTTGGGGGTTAAAGCCAATGAGTCGGTCGAGGAGCTGTACCAAGAACCTGGAACTGGGCTCTTCCTGGGGTAAGACCATAGCCCTCTACATGGACCCTCTGTGGATAGTAGGCTCAGGTGTTTACCTTGTAGAACTGAGGCCCAGGAGGCAGTCTTCCTGAGAGTTGGTGGGAGGCTACCAGCAGGTCATGTATGAGACACAACCAGTCTCTCAAGTTGAAACCCACAACTGGAGGGGACCAGTCAAGTCCATCAAACTGCAGAAACATCTCCTATGTCCAGTCAAAACTTTGTTGTTCAGATCCTTCAGACAGGAGTAGGTGTTAAATCATTCCATAAAATCCTCCATAAAACAACCGGCTAGCTTAGCCAGCTGGCTAAAAACTAGCAAGCTAGCTAGTAGCAGTCTGGGCAGCCACGCAGGTGAAACTTAAAATGAGACTTAAAACTGGATAAAGAATTTGTGACAGCGCTTCTGCCGGGCAAGAACAACGCAGATCGGTATACTATTGAACATAATGGTTCTAGTGGTGAAGATGCAGATTTCAACCAACTGATGCAGCTTAGCCTTCCACGTGTGCAGGAGTAATTATAGTGGCTACAAAACAGCTAGGAAAATGTGAAAGGTCTCATCTCGATCCAGTATGTGGTTTGTCTGTTCTGGGCTATTGTAGAAACATGGCGGTTCAAAATGGCAGTCGTTCTCCAGTCCACTTTATGTTATCAGGTTCAAACATCTCTGATACACCTGTGATACACCTGTACATATGTGACATAGACACTGGCCAATCAAAAGACTGGTTTCTGTCCTGTCTCTCAGTGATTCCGGACCACTGCGACTCGCCCGAACCCCATCACCACCAGAAGATGAAAGTCCACCTGAGAGTCCAGACACTAGTTCCAATCATATGCTCCGCCCTGTCTCACCTGGACCACCACGGCCCAAATCCCCTATACAGGTAGATCAAATCCTAATCCCTCCATAGCCTCATAACAGGTAGATGTTATCCTGCTGGGATCAGAACCTCAACCCTCCTACATCTAACCATGACTGGATCCAAGTCAACATCACAGGTAGCAGGTGTCCTAACTAGATCCAGATCTCCATGTTGTTGGATGTTATTGATCTGGAGAAAATTCAAGATGTAGTTTATTAAACTATGTAGATGATATAACAAGAGAATACATCGTGATTGATAGATAATAAGATTGATTGATAGAAAATACTGATTGATAAATTATAGTGATCACTACATAGTATTAGTGATTGATAGATGATGACTGATTGATAGTATTAGTGATTAATAGATGATAACAGTGATTGATAGTATTAGGGATTGATATTGTTAGATAATAGTGAAATTATTTTAGTTCCAGTGTTTCTATCTATTTTACTTGTTTGTTGGTTCAGTCGACTGTTCAAACTCCACAGTAACTTTCTGTGACTGTTTTTCTTTGCTGCTCTCTTTTATCTGTTCTTGGTGAGTGAATATATAACACCAGTTTCTGTCATTTGTCTGTTACCATATGTGTTGAGTAAATATATAACACCAGTGTTGTTATATAACATAGAGTTGCTACCTGAAAGTAGAATATTCTGTCTATGGACTGTTCTGAGATCTGACTTTAAGTGTTCAATAGCGTTTACATGTTTGTCGAACATATTTGGACAAATATATATTATATATATAATATACACACACATACACACATACATATGTCTATGTATGTGTGTATGTATGTCTGTGTCTATGTATCTGTATGTATGTAGGTATGTGTGTATGTGTGTGTATGTATGTGTATGTGTGTATGTATGTCTACGTATGTGTGTGTGTATGTATGTATGTATGTATGTATGTATGTATGTGTTTGTGTGTGTGTGTGTGTGTGTGTGTGTGTGTATGTATCTATGTATGTATGTGTGTATGTGTATGTATGTTTGTATGTGTGTATATGTATGTGTGTATGTATGTGTGGATGTATGTTTGTGTGTGTGTGTGTGTGTGTGTGTGTGTGTGTGTGTATGTATGTATGTATGTATGTATGTGTGTATTTGTGTGTATGTATGTGTACATACACTGATTAGCCATAACATTGACAGGTGAAGTGAATAACAATGATTATCTATCAGGTGCTCAGGTGCTCATAATGTTATGGCTGATTGGTGTATATGTGATGACGTAGTGTGTTTCTAGAACACTGGTTCCCAATCTTTTCTGTAGAAGACTTGGTAACACTTTATAATGAGTACACACTATTAAGCATTAGTTAAGCATGAATAAATACTGAATTCATCATTTATAACGCATGAGTACACATTAGTATGTAGTTTATAAACACAGTTTAAAATGTTTTATTCATCATTGATCACACAGCACATTAGTTATGGATTAGTAAATACTGAATTCATCATTTATAAAGCATGTTTCTGCTGTAAATAGTCATTACTATGTGGTTTATAATCACAGTTATAAATGTTTTACTCTTCATTGTACTGTACATTTCTGCATGCACTTGCACATCCACTATTCAGACATGTATTAATGATTAGTGATTGTGTTAGCAGATGTTCTATAAAAACTCAGAACAAATTCATTTTCTAATGATGGCCTATAAACAGTTATTAATGCAGGAATTCATGAATTGAGGCAGTTACAAAGCACTTACTACTCGTTAATTAAGTATTTTGCACGAGCTCATCTAAAGTGAGCACTATCTATGGCTTATTAAGCATTTACAAATGTGATATAAAGGCTGGCAATGCCTCAAGACTCACAAAATGTTCAGTTATCTTAACAGACGAAGGAGAGACACAACACAAAGGGCTATAGAACATATTGTATTGATATTTATTGCAACTTCCCAACATATTGTATGAAGAGGAACAAGGGTGGTTTATGAAGACATGCTATTCACACTCACCTCGCCCGGCTAGACGAGACTAGTCGTGCTTCTCCATGCTTCCCTTGGCTGCACTGTCAGAAACTTCTGAGAGTTAACGTAAATATGACGTAACATCCCGCCTCCCACCGTCATCACATTGATGACGTGCTGAGAGCGGGATTGCAAGCTCAACGTACACGTCCCAAACAGATAAGATCACAACAATAGCATGTCTTCATAAACCACCCTTGTTCGTCTTCATACAATATGTTGGGAAGTTGCAGTAAATATCAATACAATATGTTCTATATCCCTTTGTGTTGTGTCTCTCCTTCGTCTGTTAAGATAACTGAACATTTTGTGAGTCTTGAGGCATTGCCAGCCTTTATATCTCATTTGTAAATGCTTAAAAAGCCATAGATAGTGCTTACTTTAGATGAGCTCGCGCAAAATACTTAATTAACGAGTAGTAAGTGCTTTGTAACTGCCTCAATTCATGAATTCCTGCATTAATAACTGTTTATAGGCCATCATTAGAAAATGAATTTGTTCTGAGTTTTTATAGAACATCTGCTAACACAGTCACTAATCATTAATACATGTCTGAATAGTGGATGTGCAAGTGCATGCAGAAATGTACAGGACAATGAAGAGTAAAACATTTATAACTGTGATTATAAACTACATAGTAATGTTTATTTACAGCAGAAACATGCTTTATAAATGATGAATTCAGTATTTACAAATCCATAACTAATGTGCTTATCAATGATGAATAAAACATTTTTAACTGTGTTTATAAACTACATACCTATGTGTATTCATGCGTTTTAAATGATGAATTCGGTATTTATTCATGCTTAACTAATGCTTAATAGTGTGTACTCATTATAAAGTGTTACCGAAGACTTTTCCAGCAGATTTATATCACTTCAGCTTGTTGTTAGCTAACTGCTGATACACTAACTCTAGTAAAGTTATTCTGTGAAAATAACCAAAGTACTAGTAAAGTAAAAAAGTAAAGTAGTTGAGGATTTCATTGAACTTACGCCAGAAACATAAAATCCCTAGATGTTTCAGTGTGGTGTTGATGGCCTGTGTTGTTCCATAATGCAACACTGCAGCAGAAACAGTGAAGCTGCTCACAGTTGTAAGCTAAGCTCAAAAACAAGGACTTATCAATCAAGATTCATTCAGTGTCTAAAGGTTGAGCCTAAATTTCTAGATAGAGAAAGAATTATCCTTAAACATTTTCAGCTACACTTACTTTTAAAGGTTAAAAATGTGCATTTAGAGTTTAGCATCAGAAAATCGCAGCTCATCCAGGTTTTTATGTCCTTAAGACGTGTTTGTAATTTAGCTAATTGATTAGTCTCATCAGGCTTGATCGATATAACTGGGTATCATCTAAAAGTTATGAAAAAAGTATGTGAAAGTTAAGATAAGAATGGCAGAAGAGTGACAGTGGATGGAGCATAACAGGGGTAACAGTTATTTACTATTATTATTATTATTATTATTATTTTTATTATTATTAAGTTAACTATCAGTCAGGCAATAAATATACGGTATAGTCTACAGTGTGTCATTTAATAAACGTTGCAGCTTCTCAAAACCAAGGAAAGTGTCTTCAGTTGTTTCCCACCTGCTGGAAAAGTGAAGGGGGTTGGCCCCTACGCCCATGTACCAATCCCGCCATCATAAAGAGTACTCTCTGCAGTGGAATCACAAAACAGATCTGGGGTTTAGGTACTTGTAGGTAAGTGTTAGTTATGGAAATAGGGCTTAAGGTTTTGGTGTTTGAAGAGACATTTGTACCTGTTGAGGGCAGGCAATGATTAATTTTGTCTCTAATAGTAATAATTTTATCATAAAAGAAGCTCATAAAGTCGTTGCTACTTAAGTTTATGGGGATATGTGGCTCAATAGAGTTGTAACTCTCTGTCAGCCTGGCTACAGTGCTGAAGAAAAACCTGGGGTTGTTATTTTTTTCTATTAGTGCTGAATAATAAGCTCCTCTGGCATTACGGATATATCAATATCTCTAATATATTAATATCTTCTTTTTTAAAGGGGCAATAGAGTCGAGTCTCATTCACAATGAGCCTGCAACACTATTAACCAATTCAATTCAATTCAATTCAATTTTATTTGTATAGCGCCAATTCATTTCAGTTCAACCAGATGATCAATTTGGGAGGGACTAAGATTATCATAGTAGTCCTCTGTGAACAGTGGAGTATGTATCCCTCAGATCTTTGGGCACCTAAAAGGTTACTGTTAGACTCCATGTTGGGAACCAGTATTGTAGAATATATCATCTACCATAAGACCAGGGGAATAGAAACGTAGAATATTTATTTGTTGTACTTCTGTGTTATAGAGGTTTAAGATCTCAGACTACTAAAATAAATTCTAATGCTTCCTGGAAGCATTGTCAGTCTTTTATCTCACTGACCTGTAACATGTCTCTGTCCTGTCCATGTATCCATATGTCTCCATCCTTTTCATGTGTTCATGGTAAGTAACCATGTCACATTCAGTTGGTGGTAGTGAACCTGTGTAGTGCTTCATGAGTCATCTGTATGTGATTTATTTATTTCTGTTTTAGTTGGCCGAAAAATTGTTCTGTCTTTTTTTTAATTCTTAAATGAAAAATGTGTTTTACAGCTTAATGTCATAGTTTCGTCAATGTTTTTCATCAGTTATGATCAGATGTTACTCTCCAACCTTATTTATGACACAGTTTGATTGAAATCTAGATTAGATTAAAAGTAGAGTAAAGTTATAATTATTCATTTCACAAAAAAGCATTTATAACTACAGTAAGTATGATAGCCAGAACAAATGTTCATTCGTTAATATTTGTGACATACTGAAACAAATTATATCCTTGTACAGTTATACAGTTGTAAGAGTGTTTGCCCTGCTGCAAACAAGTTGCATTTTTTCCAGCATGTGTTACAGTATAATTAGATTCGGTGTGTTACTGAAACTGTGCTGTTGCATCTCTCTGATTGGTTCATGGTCATTCTAGACTGGGATTGGCTGTTTAGTTCAACGCTCAGTTAAACTCAGGATGGCTGCTTTAAATATACACCGATCAGCCATAACATTATGAGCACTGACAGGTGAAGTGAATAACACTGTTTATCTGGTTATCAGGGCTCTTGTCAGTGGGGGATATATCAGGTAGACAGTGAACATTTGGTCCTCAGAGTTGATGTGTTAGAAGCAGGAAAAAAGGGCAGCGTGAGGATCTGAGCCACTTTGACAAAGGCCACATTGTGATGGAAGACCCTAACCCTTCTGGGGTGTTCCAGGTCTGCAGAGGTCTGTACCTATCAAAAGTGGTCCAAGGAAGGAACAGAACCAGAGACAGGGTCACGGGTGGCCAAGGCTCATTGATGCAGGTGGGGAGTGAAGTCTGGCCCGTGTGGTCCGATCCAACAGACGAGCTACTGTAGCTCAAACTGCTGAAACAGTTAATGCTGGTTCTGATAGAAAGGGGTCAGAACACACAGTGCAGAGCAGTCTGTTGGTCTGGGACCAGTCAGGGAGCTCAGTGCTCACAGTGTTACTGCTGATCGGTCTGTATGTATAATATATTCTGCATCTTATAGTACTGCCCTTAGTGAAGTTCTGAGGGTTGTTTGAGGAATTACTATATCCAGAACACCTATACTGTTTTATAATTCTGCCCTATTCAAAATTTTATTGATCATATTGTTTCTCTCTGGTGTGAGATAACACACTGCAATGAAGAAACTGATAGAAATAGATTTGCTGATAAATAAACCTGTGAACCAGAAGTCTTTGTTACAGTGGTACCACTAAACTACTGCACCCTTACTGCCCCCTACTGCACCCTTACTGTGTTACTACCCTCTTTTATTTTGAACATTAATCGTTAAAATGGTTCAGGAAAAGTAAAGAAATGCTGCTTAATTCAATTTGAGTTGAGTTAATAGTGACTCATTGTGTTTTTGGCAGCTTAAAAAGGGACCGCCGGTGCCCCCACCACCAAAGGTCACACCTACCAAAGAGGTGGCAGAGGAGCAGATCATTGACCTGTTTGGAGGAGAATTTTTACCAGCACCTTCACCATCGCAGGTCTGTGGAGTCATCACAGGTTTACGGTGTTCAGCAGTGCAAATTGTATTCTCCTGTTTTTATTTTGTTCAATTCAATTCAGTTTTATATTTATTTGCATAGCGCCAATTCATAACATAAGTTATCTCAGGACACTTTTCAAATAGAGCAGGTCTAGACCGAACTCCTTATAACATTATTTACAGAGACCCAACAGTACCACCATGAGCAAGCACTTGGTGACGGGGGCAAGGAAATACTGCCTTTTAAGAGGCAGAACACTAAGACAGACCCTTTGGCTCTAAGTGGGTGGTCGTCTGCCTCGACCAGTTGGGGTGAGAGAGAGGGAGAGGGAGAAGGAGAAGGAGAGAGGAGAGAGACAGACAGACAGACAGACAGACAGACAGACAGACAGACAGAAACAGAGGTGCACAGCAACAACAGTAGCAACAACTACACTAATAGTAGTGACTGATGATGATGAACATGAAGATGATGACGACGATGACAACAAAGAATGGGGGACAATGAGCAGCGACCACAGCAACAACAGCGACCGTAGCTGTATATAATAATAATAATAATAATAATATTTCAGTAATATTAGCAATGGGAGTTAAGCAGGACCACGGCAGGAGGCTCCACAAGGATCCATGAGAACCTGCGAGACAAGAAACCACAAGAACTCCGGAGAAGAAGTGAAGTTAGTAACATGCATTAATGGGACATGAATGAGTGCAGAAAGAGAGCGGAAGAGAGGAGCTCAGTGCACCATGGGAAATTCCCTGATAGTGTAGGCCTATAGCAGCATGACTAAGGGATGGTTCAGGACTCACCTGATCCAGCCCTAACTATAAGCTTTATCAAAGAGGAACGTCTTAAGCCTACTCTTGAATGTGGTGAGGGTGTCTGCCTCCCGAACCACAACTGGAAGCTGGTTCCACAAGAGAGGAACTTGGTAACTGAAGGCTCTGGCTCCTGTTCTACTTTAAGAGACTATAGGAACCACAAGTAGCCCTGCATTCATAGAACGCAGTGTTCTAGAACTGTTCTAACTGTAGTATTTATGGAAGATTCATCGTTAACATGTACAAACTGAGAACGATCTGATAAGTATGACCTAAACCAGCTTAGTGTGATTCCTTTGATGCAAATTTGATGCTCTAGTCTCTGTAAAAGAATATTATGGTCAATGGTGTCAAATGCAGCACTAAGATCTAATAATACAAGTACAGAGACGAGTCCATTGTTGGAAGCAATCAAAAGGTCATTATTAACTTTAACCAGAGCTGTCTCTGTGCTGTGATGAACTCTAAATCCTGACTGAAAATCCTCAAATAAGATGTAGAAAGTCACACAACTGATTGCCGACTACTTTCTCCAGAATCTTAGAGAGGATGGGGTCTAACAGTCAGGTTGATGGCTTAGATGTATACATTATTGAGGTTAACTGATAAAGATTGATAGCAGAAAAACAGTCTAAATATATAAATTGATTTTATATTAGTTAAAGTTCCTTAACTTGGAGAGACAGCGATACCTGTTGAGGGTATTTGGTTATTAATTTTGTCTCTAATAGTAATAATTTGATCGTAAAAGAAGCTCATAAAGCCATTGCTACTTAAGGTTATGGGGATATGTGGCTCAACATAGCTGTGACTCTCTGTCAGCCTGGCCACAGTGCTGAAGAGGAACCTAGGGTTGTTCTTATTTTCTTCTATTAGTGCTGAATAATAGGCTCGTCTGGCATTACGGAGGGCCTTTCTATAGGTTTTAAGATTATCTTGCCAGATTTCCGCTTTTTTTGCTGTAATTGGCAGGTTTGGTGGTTGTGGCACGGTGGTAGTTTCCTATGTTTTAATAATTTCCTTTTTATAGGACAGTAGAATCTAATGTTGATCGTAGTGAGCCTGCAGCACTATTAACAAGATGATCAATTTGAGAGGGACTAAAGTTCTTATAGGACTTTGTTATATTCAGACATGGCATTGAATTATACACTGATATAATCTCCTTCTTAAATTTTAAAGTTTTGCCTAATGGCTTATAATCTAGTAATATGAATTCAAAAGTTATTAAATAATGTTCAGATAGAAAAGGATTTTGTGGGAAGACTATTAAGTGTAAATATCAATGCCATATGATAGAACAAGGTCAAGAGTGTGATTAAAACAATGAGTTGGTTTATTTACACTCTGACAGAAGCCAATTAATGATATAAATGCGTTACTAAGGCTGTCATTGTTAACATCCACATGAATATTAAAATCCCCTACAATAATTACTTTATCTGATGTAAGGACTAAACTTGATAAAAACTCTAAGAAGCCGGTGCCTCAAGGAATATTATTATTATTAGTATTAATGACTGGGGTGGATTCATTTAGGCTAACATACTCTTCATGGAACAGCCAGGTCTCAGTAAGACAAAGTAAATCAATGTCATAATCTGATATTAATTAATTCACTAGAACAGCCAGGTGACTGTTCTAATGGAAGTGTAGAGAAGTGTGTAAGACAGCAGCTCTGCTTCCTGGCCCCAACTCTGGACTGTCAGGTTTTAGAAATAAACTCTCCTAATTAGACCAGGTTTTCCCCAAAAAGGCTGCCAGACACTACCTCGACAGCCAGCGGTGGAATGACGACATGCGGCTGTACATGTCATCACTGGTCATACTGGGCAGGGGTCCAGAGAAAATATTGCATATCTACACACCTTCTTTGTTGTTGTCCACAGCCCAATGAAAGACCAGGAGAATCTCTGCTCGACCTGGACTTTGATGCCTTTCAACCAGATGAGAGTGTTTCACCGATACCACAGGTTTTCTCTCATTTTACCTGCAGCAGTTTGAAGCAGAAAGCAGTACCACTAGTAAATTAACAGTTTGAAAGCTAACAGGAAGGTTGTCGGTTCAATCCCTGGCTCCTCCCTGCTGCATGTCGAAGTGCTGTGCATCGGTGTGTGAATGTGAATGAATAAGTTATTTTCTTTTCGATGGGCTTTGCCATCATGGTGTGAATGGGTGAATGTGGCATGTAGTGTAAAAAAGAGTGGTCAGAAGACTAAAGGCTCTGTACAAGTACAGTCCATTTACCATTTATATTTCTCTCTTGGTATTGTAGGCCTAAAATGTAATCATCAATATATTAATATTGCAGTATTTCCATAAGTGTATAAATGTGTTTATTTACATGAACACCTTGTGCTCTGACCATTTCAGACAGCTGTACCTTGGGATATGTGGTCGGTGAGTAAAGCTGATATAATTTTACACTGTTATTAATTTCAAACATTTACTTTTCAGATTATCATTGAGTGAAAAAGTGAAGATGGTCAATTAACTCTGTAACTGTACATATCAATCGTCTTTTATCACTTTATTCTTTTAGGCAAACGCCCAAACAGCTCAGCCTGTAAGTACACACAATTACACATCTGTTCTGTTTTTTATCAGCACTAAATTCTGATCAACTATTGCATAAGAGCAGGTTTTAATTTATATTTACTGACTCACAATGAGAATGTTCACATTAAGACAAGGTTGGAAAGATTGATGCATTGATAAAAGAAAAATGCAACAAAGTGCAATGGAAACAGACACATATACATAAAGCATGAATATCCACCTAACAGAGCTGTACTGTTTGTAGTGATTCACCCAGAATTCATAGTTAATGCGTTTTTGTTTGATGATCTGTTAGAACAGTCTGCCTTTCTGCTACAAGTCCTGTCTGTCTGTATTTTCATGAACTACTGGCCCTTCAGGCGGACTCAGTCCTGGGAGTTTAGAGTAACAGGGTCAAACGTTAACCCATTCCCTGCCTTTCCCCCAAGCAGGCTGCAGACACTGGCTTCGTCGCCGACTGGTCCGCTGACTTTGGTTCATTGTCAGAAAATGGAGACCCTGCTTCAGGAGCTGAGGCCCCTGCTGAAGGGCCACAGGGGGCGCAGGGTGGGGCTCAGGGTGGGGCTCAGGGCTTGCCCCAGGCAGACGGCGGGCAGCCGGGTGGAGACACAACTACTCCACCTCAGGACAGTGAGGCAGCCACAGCAGCTGAAGATGAGGTTAGCAGATGGGACCCTCAAACTAACCCCAAACTTCATCCTTCTGCAGTCAGAAGTGATGAAGATGAGACACGGCAGGCAGATTCAGTGACTAATACAGCAGGGCAGGAAGACCGCAGGAAGTCCACTCCAGGACTTATATTCACCAATGAGTATGGGGAGGAGATTGAGGACAGCACAGAGGACAGAGGAGACAAGTGGTCCAGGTCTCCAGATGGGTCTGGTTCTGAATATGAAACTGCTGAGGAGTGGGGTGAAGGAGGTCAGGGAGGCTGGGCAAGTGCTGATGATGAACTTTCATATGTAGATCGTCCCCCAGTGAATGCCTCAGAGGGACGAGGAGGTGGATACGATGGTGTAGAACAGGTTTCAGCAGAGAGTGATGAAGTAGAACTGCCAGAAAAACCAACTGATCTGAAACAGGGAGGAGGTGCGTTTGATTCAGATCCTTTTGCTGAAACACATGCAGGAGGTGCGTTTGATTCAGATCCTTTTGCTGAAACACAGGCAGGAGGTGTGTTTGATTCAGATCCTTTTGCTGAAACACAGGCAGGAGGTGCGTTTAATTCAGATCCTTTTGCTGAAACACATGCAGGAGGTGCGTTTGATTCAGATCCTTTTGCTGAAACACAGGCAGGAGGTGTGTTTGATTCAGATCCTTTTGCTGAAACACAGGCAGGAGATATGTTTGATTCAGTTCCCTCAGCTGAAACACAGGCAGGAGGTGTGTTTGATTCAGTTCCCTCAGCTGAAACACAGGCAGGAAATATGTTTGATTCAGATCTTTTAGCTGAAACACAGGCAGGAGGTGTGTTTGATTCAGATCCTTTTGCTGAAACACAGGCAGAAAATTGGTTTGATTCAGTTCCCTCAGCTGAAACACAGGCAGGAAATATGTTTGATTCAGTTCCCTCACCTGAAACACAGGCAGGAGGTGCGTTTGATTCAGATCCTTTTGCTGAAACACAGTTTGGAGACACAGGGGGTTCTGAATTTGATCAATTTACTGAGACCTTAGGAGAAGGTGGGGTTGTAGTCACTGGGTGTGGAAGCAGCGGGTGGGATACGGACCCTTTTGCCAACACTTTCCCAGCAGCGTCGACAGGGACTAAGGGTCCTGCCTCCAACACCATACCCTGGCAGGAAGTTAGTGACAGCAGCAGCTTCGACTCTTCTGTCCTTCAACGAAACTCTGCGTCAGTCTCAGCAGCAGAAGGAGTTAAAGATGTAAACGTTCCCAGAATTCACAAAGAACCAGAAAATTCAGACATGTCCGAAGATGAGGCTGCAAACCGGAGATTTGGAAAGTTGTACCAAGAGCTAGATACAGAAAAGGAAGAGGTACTTCACTTCCTGCTGTCTACAGTGTGGTAGATTAGCATAGAGTAGACTAGAAATAGGTGAAAACCCTTTTCCTGTTTTCCCTCCCACAGATTGAGAAACAAAGTGAAAATAGTTGTCTTGAAACCTGGATCCCAGCCTGAGCTCCTCCCGCCTCTCCTCTTGCTTGCCTTGTCTGCTTGTTCATTCCATACATTATTTTCACATTGAATCCATCTTTACAACTCATGTACCCTAAAGGCTTCTAATACTGATTTGTCTTTGCAACTTAATTTAGGTGACAGACACGTTTAATGGATTTTCACAGGTAATTTTTCAGATTTGCACCCATTGCCTCAGTGAAATAGTAGGGATGAATTCAGTAATCTTGACATTATTGATAGGTCAGTTCTAATTCAGTCCACTAGGACTGTTGATTTTATCCCCTTCAATGTGTTTTTTAATGTTTGCTGTTGCTTTTACTATTCAGTAGTCCATCTTCAAACTAAATTTACAGACATTATTCTTTCATCTTTGAGTTGAACAAATACAACGTTAAGACACAAAAAGCAAACAAATGACCACCTCATTATGTTTAACCAGTGAATTAGGGTTATAAAGCACTTTATAACAGTTATACAATATCTGGTTAAAGTTCACTGCAGAGGTCGGAGGTCACAGCAGACCTAACATTAACTGCATGCTTATGTCGTCAAACCTTCAGAAGCCTTTTTTCCAGTAATGTCCTTTTCTCATTTCTTCATCTCTTGTCTCTGAATGTTTTCGTCTCTTTATATCTCATCTCTTTATATCTCATCTTTTTATACCTTGTCTCTTTATATCTTGTCTCTTAATGTTTTGTCTCTGTATATCTCGTTTCTTTATATTTAATTCAATTAAATTCAGTTTTATTTGTACAGCAGCAATTTATAACAAGCGTTATCTCAGGACACTTTTCAAATAGAGCAGGTCTAGACTGTACTCCTTATAACATTATTTACAGAGACCCAACAGTTCCCACAATTAGCAAGACTTTGGTGACAGTGGCAAAGAAAAACTTCCTTTTAAGATGCAGAAACCTTGGACAGACCCTGGCTCTAGGTGGGTGGCCGTCTGCCTCGACCAGTTGAGGGTTAGAGAGAGAGAGAGAGAGAGAGAGAGAGAGAGAGAGAGAGGTAGAGGGATAAGACAAATGTGCACAGCAACAACAGTAGCAGCAACTATACTAATAGAAATGACTGATGATTATGATTGTGATGAAGATGATGATGACGGACAGCCTGCGATGAACAATAATAATAATAATATTAATAATAATAACAATATCAGTAATAATATTAATAATAATATAATGATTAATTATCAATAATATTAAAGCATCTTAATGGATTTATTGGGGCAGCCTGATAATAAGGAATTGCAGTAATCCAGCCTAGAAGTAACAAATGCATGGATTAGTTTTCCTGCATCTGTCTGTAACAGGATGTGTCTGATTTTTGTAATATTACGTAAATGAAAAAAGGCAGTCGTAGAGGTTTGCTTTATGTGGTAGTTCAAGGACATGTCCTGATCAAAGATAACTCCAAGATATATCTAGTCTCTGAATGTTTCATCTCTATAGCTCGTCTCTTTATGTCTAGTCCCCAAATGTCTCATCTCTTTACATCTTCTTTCTCTATATCTCGTCTCTGAATGTTTTGCCTCTTATTACCTCATAGCTTTGTGTCATCTCTTAAGGTTTTGTCTCTTAATAGCTTGTCTCTTAACATCCTGTCTGAATGTCTTGTTTTTTTAGTCTTCTCTAAATATTGTTATTCTTCTGTTAATGCTAAATAATCATGAATTTCTGGATCCTGACTGACTGAAATATTTTTTTCTTTTTAACAAGTGCACTCTGAAGGATTCCACTGGCCCATCATTTTTTGCTGATTTTGATAAGATGGTAAGTTTTAAAATTATGTGCACAATTGTATTGCAGTTAACATGATTAGAAATGGTATTAGGGATGTCACAAGAACCGATACTTCGATACCAAGTTGATACCAATATACTGAAAACTTGACGGTACTCCTTCCTCCTTCTAGAATACCGTAGGTATCAGAGGTACTAGGGATGCAATCCTGAACTCCCGGACTTGACGGGACAGCTCATACAGCCACAAATATGAACATGTAGAAGACAGCGACAAAAAATAGAGAGCCAAAAGAGTGTTTGTTAAGCTGCTTTATACTCTAGTATAAAAAACTATAAGGAACAGCTTGGATGCAGGCTTTTTTTTCTTAATGCAATGCACCTGTACTATTATGAAAAATACAAGTATGGATCAGGACTCAGTATGAGATGTTAAATGGGGATCGTGGCCAAAAAACTTGATCGGGACATATTTACATATCATATTGAGAATTGTGGAATGTAACTGGTATTGGTATTGACTACTACATTTTTGATATCGTGACAGCCCTAAATGGTATATTCATTTCTTTAATTAGTTGTTTCTGTTGAACATTTCTGTCCTTTAATCTGTTTCTTGTGAACATTTGTGTCAGTTTATTTATTTT